GTGGAAGACAAAGGAACAGTGTCTTGATGTTGTGTGTATACACACATTTTTTGTAAAAAAAAAAATGTACAACAGACCTTGGCCATTTTACGACAGGCTATAAAGCACGATTAGCCATCTGACAGGGCAAACCTAAACAGACTCATACCCTTCTAAATCCACTGAAGTCAATGGCCTTTGAAAGCTGTAACTCTTGTTAGGACGGCACTATAAATCACAAAATGGCAGCGCTTCTTAGAAGGGCAACTCAACTCAGATATGTAAAAGAGTACCACAAGAAACGGATAATGAAAGGAACTCACTTGGCTACGATGCTGTAGCTAATTTTTTTTTTTTGAGGGGTGGGAGCGGCTGACGATAAGAGACTGTGACAAGCTAGATCAAGTCCTTGAGGCAAGTGCCTTGGCTGCCTCATTAGAGCCCTTCTACACTTCATCACATGGCGAGAGCGCCTCGGCTCCTCAGGCCACACACGTGTAAAGGCAGCAGACTCACCAGCAGCAATGTGTCAAAGTGAGATTTGTCTGGAAACAATATACGGAGGCCCCCGTTAATAGGGGGGGAAGGCCTGTTTTAATAGCTTTAAACATTCCAGAATACAGAGAAAGCAATGTGGCCTGTTAGTTTTACACTGTGCATATACTAATGAAATGCTTAGGATAGAGAAAAAAGGCACAGTGCTTAAGCTTACGTGGAAATAAAAAATTTTTAAGCTGGTTCCCTAGATTCATTTAAAGCATGTGCCTTCCAAGGCACGCACGCGCGCGCACACACACACACAAACTGGGGCTGCAAAGAGAGACGAGACTTTGCTAGTAATCATCTGTAGAAACAAATTACCGTAACATGTAGGTAGACAAACAGGTTGAATAATCCAGTGGGGTTTTTTTTGGGGGGGGGGTGTGACTGCAGCATGCATTAATGGAACAGGTGAGACTGCATTTGTTTGGTTACTGTGTAAGGACATTTCAAAAATTACTTTGAAAGAGCAACGTTTAATGAGTGCATTCATTTCGCTTGCACAGGGTGACCTTCTGGAGCTAGTCATTTCCCCACCTTGCGTAACGCGCAGACTCTTTCATGAGCAGAAAGTGCCAGAGGTCTGCATGCTGCAAGAGGACCACGCTGCGCAAGCGGGAAGGAAAGTATGGGACCCAGGCCTCTATCTGTAGACCTAGTCTTGCTCCTCTGATGACTACTGCTGTCAAGATCAAGTGAGCCAACATCATTTGAGCTCTGATGGGCACCTGACCTTTTGAGATTATAAACAACTATCAAAATAGGAATTAAACCTCTGAAGGAAGTTAACCCTCTGAAGGAAGGGTTGCATCAGTGCGTGGTTCTTGTGGCCCTTTCTTACACGCCCAGGGAAATGCTGATCACCCCTTTAAGGCTAGGAAGCAACTGTTCTCCAGGCCAGTTTGGCCGGGGATCCTGGAGGGTTCCCCCGCCCTTCTGGGCATGGAGCAGGGGGCACTGGTGGTGGTGGTGGGGAGGGATTTGTGAATTTCCTGCATTGTGCAGGGGGTTGGACTAGATGACCCTGGAGACCCCTTCCAACTCTGTGATTCTATGAAATCTGGGGTGATGCTAGGGTTGCCAGCTCTGGGTTGGGAAATTCCTGGAGATTTGGGGGGAGGGGTGAAGCCTGGGTAGGGTGGAGCTAGGGGAGAGGAGGGCATTCAGAGAAGTATAATGCATTAGAGTCCACCTTCCAAGGCAGCCATTTTCTCCAGGGGAACTGATATCTGTCATCTGGAGACCAGCTGTAATTTTAGGAGATCTCTGGCCACCACCTGGAGGTTGGCAACCCTAGGTGAAGCGAGAACTTGTACCCTCACCTGTGTTAGTGCTGAAAGAAATTCCAAACTCTCATTACTGTGAACAACTGCTCCCAATAAATGCTGCCCTACACAGCATCAGTTCAGGAGCCGTAGACGAAAAAAGATCTACTAACTCCTGCTCTTCAATAAGTTGCCTAGGTCCGCATGTACCCAGTTTTGTATTCAAATGCTGGAGAGGTCAGAGGTATCACCAAGGAGAACCAGCAAGGTGATCCTGTCCTAAGAAAACATCACATAACTTATTTTCTTAAAATAATTCTAAGTTTAGACCATGACCTTGAGGCTTATCCTGCTCCTCCCGTTGTCTATGTTGTTCCCCTGGAAAGCACTACCATTGCTTTCTACTTCTGATGGGCATTGTGATTTTCAGAATCTTTGCAGGTAACTTAAAAACAACCAGACTGTGCACACTAATTAGTCAGTTTCCACCCTCCAAAGTGTCCATTTTATCCAGGGGAACTGATCTCTGTCTGAGATGAGCTGTAATTCTGGGGGATCCCTAGGTCCCACCTGGAGCCTGGCATCCCTATTCCCCTCCCCAGTTCGCTTCCCTTCCAATGGAGCTTCAGCAAGGCCATGGGCCTTCTGTCATCTCCCAACCCAGGAATTCTGGGAATTGTAGTTCTACAACAGGAAACTTTCTGCACAACAGTTCCCATGCTTCTTCATGGAGAATGATGGACTACTGTTAAACCAGTTTCAAACCAGTTTAAATTCACAGTGTAGACGTGCTTATTACACTGAAGCCTGGATCCTGCCCTACGGCTATACTGGGAATACCACTGGATTAGAGTATCATTAAGTCCTTGGCAGTGCTAAGGTCCCAAAACATAAAATCAAATCATTTTCTTTAAAACCATCAAATCAAGGAGCCTAATTTAATGTAAACAAGGTTTGTATTATCACAGCAAGTAATGGAAAATTTGAATTATTTAATGGGGTGGCTCCTGTTTTATTTATGTTTGAATTCTTCTGTTTGCTTTTAATTTTCTGGCTGCTATTAATTTTTTTTAACACTCTGGGGAACACCTGGTTTTGGTGCTCTTAAAGATACGGTAATAACTCCCTCAATGTTCTGTGTATCAGGGACAGCTTTTTCCGCCGCGAGAGCCAGTGCGGTGTAGTGGTTAAGAGTGCTGGACCAGTATCTGGGAGACCCCAGTTCAAATCTCTACTTGTGCCATGGAAGATCACTGAGTGACCTTGGGCCAGTCACACTCTCTTGGCTTAACCTACCTCACCGAGTTGTTGGAAGGAAAAATGGAGGGGACGACGATCATGTAAGCTGATTTGGGTCCCCATTGGGGAGAAGGGTGGGTGGGGGAACAAATTAAATAATTTTGCGGGTACCTTAGTGCCTTTGGTAGCAGCTTTTATATGTCAGGTATGATGAAAGCTTATTTCCCCCCCCCCGCCAATCTCTGAATTGTCGTCGTCCCCGCCCCAAATCTGCCAAAAGCTACTGCCTGAGCATCATTCAAACTGCTGTCATTTTTTCAAGCAACAAAAACTGAGCAGTCTTTTGAGTTGCCAGGGATACTCATAAGAAACCTTGGTTGATCACTCTATCCTAGCCCAGCCTACCTCGCAGGTTTGTCAGGAGCGTAAAATGGAGGAGAGGGGAAACCAATGTATATTGCTCTAAACTCCTTGGAAGAAGTGCAGAATAAAAATGTATTAAATAAAAAATAAAATAAAAACAAACAAATACATAAATGAAAACGGCTTCATTCTGAAAACATTAATGTGCCGGGAGGTTGCTTGGATGACTGAAATCTGAAAACAGTACAGTCTGGCTGCAAACGGAGTACTCAGGCAGGCATGCTTTAGGCTGCAATCCTATGTTCATTTCTAAATCTTCCTGAAATGAGTGGGACGTACTTCTGAGTACTGCACAAGACTGGGATGCATGTTCACTGCAAGTTAACGCAGTGTGAACCTAAGCAAGCATAGCATGGCAGCTACAAGTGTACAGAGAGAGCAGGACAGCAAAAAGGACATAAATGGATGAAAGCCAACTAACAGTACTGGAAGACAGTAAAAAAAAGATACAGGGGGCATCTTTGCAAGTTATGTGTCCCCCCCCCCAACACTGGGAGAATGAGCTGAGTTTCAAATAATTCCAAAGCCTGGATCTCTGGTCCAGAGCCCCATATGCACACTCCGGTGTTCTGTACACAATGAGTCTCAAGACATTTCAGTGGAAAGAGACTAGGTGCATGCCCATTTCATTCCTAGAGGTGGAGCTCTGCATGTGTCCTGGAGCTCAAAAGCCTAGAAGGCATTTTTTTCATTCCTGGATCAGAGCATTAAGTAGGAAAGTGGGCCGTATTTTTATCCTTGACCACCCAGGCAGCAACTTTTTAGAACATAAACTCATGGTCTTTGGTGTGCTAGTTCCTCTCTCACTCTCTCTCTCTCTTTTCTGTGTGTGCGCAATAAGTGATTATTCTGTTTACAAAACCTTCATTCAATATGCACCCTTTTTAATTAGATGAGTGGAATAAACTGACTACAAACAGTTTTGAATTAACATACACAGCACAAGTATATAATTTATACCCAGTACCCCAAGAGATAATGGGAAAGCGTGTTCTATTTTTAAAATTTATCAGGCAATAATTAGAGGTTACATAAAACGTAAAGAGGCAGAAAAACAAAACAAAAACCAGCGTGTGAATAAAGAGATGCAGATGCAGCAACTTTAAGAACTCTGTGGGAAGACTCATTCTTTTCATCATGGTCAATTCATTAATGGAGCAAATGAAAAACTAGAAAGCAAGAGAAATGTGGACCATCTGCTGCCTCCAGATGCAACTGAGTACGCTGCTGGCATCTGATGCTACTTAACAGTACTAAACAGGGATAAGATCTGTTTAATGTTCTGACCAAAGATTGGGAGAGGGGAATCTTTGGGAACAAGAATTCAGTTAAAATAACTCCCCCTGACACTTTCATATACGCATAGTGCCGGTCCTAACAACTCATCTTCAGTTGTCCCTTTTCAAATTGTTTAAATTAATTTAAACGTGCAAAGTATGACTTTACTTAAATGATGCTCATTGGATTCCCCCCCCCACTTCTCAAATAATATAGCATGCGGCTCAAACAAATGGCAAGTATCTAGCAATGTAATGAAGCAGACCACTGTCTTACCTTGAAACTGTGAACCTTCTCATACTTTGGAATGTGTTCATTTTCCTTCAGAGTTGCTCTTCTGACAAGCGATGTCAGCTGCGAATAAGCAAAGAGTTTAAGAGGTTGCCAGATTGTGGCAGACGACTTTTGAAAGCCCAGTCGCATTCCCAAAGCTGCCATCAATAAATCTCTTTGACGGCTCTCCTGTTTCGAGTTGTGAACAGCAGATCTATTAGCTTTTTGCCCTGACCAAGACTCTTTGGATGGCATTTTGGAGAGAGAGAGAAAGAGACAAACACTGCACTTATAGCAAATTGAATTTTCTTCCAAAATAAATAAATAAATCAAAACAGCATTACTCTAAAAACCCTAAACTGAGTATCACTGTAAACTTGCTGCTGTTACTGTTATGCAGGAGTAGCAACACAGCTTCTTCTGTTTCTTTTTAAAAACCTCTCTCCAGGTTAAGCTTGAAAACTTATGGGTCTGGATGTGAACAAGAAGGGGAATCACTGTTTACAAAAGAATGCCCAGGGTGTCTTCATCCATTTAGAAATCGATGCAGCTGATGTCAAGGAAGCAGTTCTCTAGGCTCTTTTCTCCCCTGTTCCCAACCATATTGATGAAGATTTTGTATCAAAAGACACTCACATACTGAATATAATCAGTTTCCAGTTAATAGGTACCCTGCTAACCTCAGTCTAGCAAGAAGAGAGAGGAGGGGGTGGGCTTTAGCAGGCAGTGAGGGATCAGACTGGTTACAATGAGAGGGCATGTAACCAATGAAAAGCCAGCAGTGGAATTTAAGTGCCGTGCTGCTCAGCACACTCATCCCTCCCACCCCACCTCCCACGTGAGATTTTCTTGCTGGCTCAAGAGAAAAAAAAAATATCAGCATGAAGATAATGAGCGATGAATGAGTCATGCATCACTGCAAAATGGCTTCTCTGCCATTTCAAAAAAATAAAAGCTAAGGAGATTGCAATTCATTTTCCAGCGCTGAAACTGAAAAGCAAAAAAGGGAAAACCTGCTATTGTACAGACAATTCACACGAAAACTAATTTCCTTGCCTAACACTTTCCACAACACTGATACCCTCTCTGATATGTTTCTGCCAATTCTCTGGCCGTAGATAATGTTGGTAAACTGAAATAATAGTTTTTCCCATTCTTTCCATATAGATAAACAATGCAGTTCAATGGTCTATATTATTTCTGCAATCCGTTTCCTCCGTGCTGCCATCTTACATTTTTAAACCAATTCCAGTTGCCTCCAAATGAACCATTGAGAAGGCATAATGCTATCAAACTACAGTGCTTTGTTCTTAAACCTAACCATTTATGCAGAAATTACAATATACTGGTTAACGAGCAATAGTTTGCTCAACGGGTCGGAGTGACTAGGTTCGACAACTTCCAGGTGGAGATCGGAGATCTCCCAGAATTCCAGCTTATTTCCATGTGACAGAGATCAGTTTTCTTGGAGAAAACAGCTGCCGTGGAGGCTAGACTACGGCATTACACTCTGCTGAGGTCCCTCCCCTCCCCAGGCTCCAAACGTTCAGGAATTTCCCAACCCAGAGCTGCCAATCCTAGGTCAGACCCCCCGAATCTCATGGTCCAGAACAGTCTACTAAGCTCACAGTGGTGCTGTGCCTTTCTGAAACAGATTGGTGCCTGAGATATACACAAAATCAGTGCTAACAGCTACATTCACCAAGACATCTTTGAGATAAATGACTGGCAAATGACTGTAATATTTTTTTAAACGTCTTCTTACGCATGCCCTCATTATCCTGTAGAAAACAAGCTGTCCACAATCTCTTGTTTTGTGATCACGGAGCCTCAATGAAAATCATTTACGAATTGGTGAATGATGGATTTATAATCAAAACCATGACCTGTGAGGAATCATGGTGATGGTTGGGGGAGGGGGAATTAAAAATTCCCTCTCCTTTCTCATGACATCCTCTGGTGTTTACCTGGAAGTGAAGCAAGTACCTTATGACTTGTTCTCCTACAGCCCAATGAAGGGAGAGAAACTGTGGTAGTAATAGGCACTGGCCTATGTGATTCCCACCCATGTCCAGATTTTTTTTTAAAAGTTGGTGGGGATGCCCCATTTGCTGCTTAGATAGCCCCTTGAGTAGTGTTCACCTCAACTTTTCTTCCCACCCTAGTGACCTAACTACATGGTCGACTTTTTCAGATACTTCTCCGGGACCTGTCAACAGGTATAGTCTGGGGGTTCCACGTTCTGAACTTGATTCCCAGGCAGACAGGGACCCAATCCAGACTGGAACTATAGCATGTGGGCAGAGGAGTCTTTGGCCTCCCACCACACTGTTTTCCTGATCTGAAATGACCCTTGGAGAGCAACTATTTGCCACATTGTGGAACTTAACGCATAGTCCATGAGTACACATTAAGCCTTCCCAGTGGAACAAACAGCAGTTCTCCCTGAGATCATGAGAACTGTGCAAGGCCCTTCTGCCCACACACCTCAGTTCTGATCCAGTTTGGTGTAGTGGTTAGGAGTGCGGACTCTAATCTGGGAGAAGCAGGTTAGATTCCCCACTCCATCACATGCAGCTTGCTGGTGTGACCTTGGGTCAGTCACAAGTTCTTTCAGAGCTGTTCTCTCACAAGCAGTCCTCGAAAGAGCTCTCTCAGCCCCACCTACCTCACAGGGTGTCTGTTGTGGGGAAGGGAAGGGAAGGGAAAGGAGATTGTAAACTGCTCCGAGACTCCTTCGGATAATGAAGGATGGGGTATAAATCCAATCTCTCTCTCTCCCTCTCTTCTGATCTAAATTGGTTTTCTGTGACTAAGTCCAAAGGGTCCCCGTTAACGTCAGTTATGGGTGCATCCCAGGGATCTTTTATTTTATTTCTTTATTTAAAACATTTTGATAATGCCTTTCCACTCAGTTTAAGGACACCAGGACAGCGAACAATCAAAAACGTTAAAAGAAGCTTGTGTGTAGACTGTACACACTGTACACTTACAGGAGATTCTCTGATTTAGGTAACACCCCTGCACACCTGAGAATCTAGCTCAAACAGACCTGGGGAAATAATTGGCAAAAGTCTACTTTGGGGTTTTTTTAAGTGAAATATGACAAATTTACAGGTCAAGTATAACAGAGGTGGAACAATCACTGTCAGAACCCTGCCTAACCTAACAAACAGGGTTGCTTAAAAGTTATCAACCTCCCCAAACTACTTATTTATTCAAATATTTATATCCCACTTTTACTGTGACTCAAGGCATCTTACAAATCATATTGAAAAGCATAATAGTAAAGGTAAAGGTTTCCCTTGCTCGAAAGCTAGTCAAATCTGACTCTAGGGGCGGTGCTCATCTCCGTTTCCAAGCCGAAGAGCCAGTGCTGTCTGAAGACGTTTCCGTGGTCATGTGGCTGGCATGACTAAATGCCAAGGCGCACAGAACGCTGTTACCTTCCCACCGTTTCTTGCTTTCGAACTGCTAGGTTGGCAGGAGCTGGGGCCAGAGATGGGAGCTCACTCCGTCATGCGGCACTAGGATCTTGAACTGCTGAGCTACAGACCTAACTTCTAAGCCACCGCGGCCCGGGAAAAGCATAATAGGGATGTGCAAAATAGGGATGTCCTGCTCCATTATAGCCTATGGGGACCATTATAGTCAATGGGGCCCATAGGCTATAACGGAAAACTGATCCAGGGGTAACCTGGCTCTGGGGAGCTGTTATTTGAGGTACCAGCACCAAATCCACAGCATAGCTGCTGGTGCATCTCCTCAACCCCCCCCCCCAAGTTTCAAAAAGATTGGACCAGGAGGTTCAATTCTATGGGCCCCAGCATGAGGTGCCCCCCTCCAATGAAGGGGAAAATGTCCTGAGCTGGAAGCTAAATTGTCTGAGGAGCTAGCTAAAATGTTGTGCCCCAGTGTCCCCTAGCTTAGAGGGAACACTGATTGGCATAGATCCACACATTTTGCTATTGGAGCAGGGGTCTCCAATGTGATGCCATGGCACCTGCCAATACCTTTCCTGGTCTCTGTGAAGTGTTTTGAGAAAGTGGGCTGGGCCAGGTGGGGCTTTTTCTGATTGGCTATAAGAGATTTGACTGGCTGTGAAGATTTTTAAAAACATTGCTTTTGCAGCCGCTGCCATACAGCACAAGGATCATCCCTGTGTAACTGAAAGTAAGCTGGGCCAGCCATTTTGTAGCTTGCTCTGCCTCCTGCAGCAGCCATTTTGTGGCAGCAACACTTTTTCAGAATTCTAAAGCTGCCCAAAGACTCAAAAATGGTTGGGGTGGCCTGTATTAGAGGAAATTACAGTCTTTACCTCAGGCCCCACCAAAGTTTAGGTCTATGAAGAAGCAGAGGCACTACACATATGTACTGGGATTGAAAAGATCAAATCTCCATGTACAAGAGTGTTTTTTTCCTATTATTATTGCCTCCAGCAAGGCAACCAGCCTTAATTTCTTTGCCTATCTCTGCCTGTTATAGATGGCTATAGGATCCCTGTGTGTACAATGATCATGGCTATATACTTCTTATTTAAGCCTGTAGCGATCTCAATAGACAGGACAGCTTAAAACGAAGTATGCCAGCTGACCTGCTTTTTGCTGAACAGCCAGAGATTTAACTAGGCCTCCGTACTCATCCCAGAACTGTAAAACAGGAAACAGGGCAAATTTCTATTCTTGTACTGCAATTGATTGGGGACCAATTTTTATAGTTCAATGTTCACTGCAACGTGTATAAAAAGTAATGGAACCTACTGAGAGAATATAACAATTATGATCCTGCAGATAATTTTCAAAGGAGAGTTTGGCACTGAACTAATCTATTAACTTCTAGAAGGGTGAAAGCGAGAGAACAATGTTGCATTCAGGCATCATGACAGGAAGTGATTACAGTGTCAGGCTAGGACCTGAGAGACCCAGTTTCAAAACTCTGCTCTGTCATGAAGCTTGCTGGGTGACCTTTGGGCCAGCCCCCCCCCCCCAAATCTACTTCACAGAGTAGTTATAACAATAATAGCCCTGACCTGGACAGCCCAGGCTAGCCTGATCCCATCAGATCTTGGAAGCTAAGCAGGGTTGGCCTCGGCTAGTATTTGGAAGGGTGAACTCCAAGGAATGTCAGGGTCGTGACGTTGAGGCAGGCAATGGCAAACCACCTCTGAAATGTCTCTTGACTTAAAAACAAGTCTAGCTCGCCACCGCGTAGTGCATAATGCTAAAGAGCTAGAACTTCCGCCTGCCAGACAATCT